CCCCAAAACCCCAAAACCCCAAAACCCCAAAACCCCTTAATATAGAGTATTGAATTAAAATAAGAGTAATTATTCGAAGTTTTTATTTTAATTTTAAGCAAGGGAGAATATGGATCGAAAGTTTAGACCGAGGGGTGTTCCGAGTTCAATTCAGTAAACCAATCAGGCTAGATAAAAACTGATAGCTGAGTGATCTGGCAGCAGCCAACCAAATGCTAATATGTTTGATGCAGGGGGGCTATTAGTGATTAACTCAATAAATTAGCAGAAGCCTTAAATGTAAAATGCGTCCTAGAGAAATAATGCTAATTACGGAGATGATAATGCTAAAGTTGAATAGCTGTAGAATATGATTAAGCAAATGCAGAAGTAATTGGATGAGAAGCAGACTAGAATTGACGATCTATTAAGGAAAAATAATCAACTTTCTAAAGACAAGAATAATCTAAGTTAGAAACTTCAAGATTAGTAGTAGTAATGCAAGTGTCAAAAACAATAATCTAAATAGGAGCCTGTGCCTTAATAACCTAAAGAAACTCCTAAACAATAAGCCCCTAAAATTGAGGAGAAAAAAGAGGAAAGCGACGATGATGAGGACACAGGGGCTGTAGTCCAGAGAAAAAGAGTGATGATTTAAAGAGGATTCACTGCAGCAGATATTAGCAAGATTAAGTTCAAAGATTACATTGAGAGTGCAGATGGCTAGTAGACTTTATGCCTGATTTGTAACAGTAAGTTCACGGAGAACTAGAAATACCTGGATCTGCAATGCACTCATAAGTTCCATAAAAAGTGCATTGAAGCCTGGTTTATGAGAGAGAGGAAATGCCCCAGTTGTCCTAGAGTTTATGATTTGCTTGAGCTGATATGATTAGTAAAGGTACCTATATATTAGTCGATTGAATTTTATATAACTACTTATTAGTTTTTTTATTTCTTGAATTTAATCTAATTGATGGAGACATGGGGTTTTGGGGTTTTGGGGTTTTGGGGTTTTGGGG